TGATATTAAGTTTTAATAAATGTTTTTTGTTTCATCTATTGGGGTGACTATTTTCCTGGTTAAGTTTCATAAAATATGTGACTCACATTTATAATATCTTAAGATGTTAAAGTTTTGGTACAGTATTCACATGAGGGAACTCACAAACCTTTTAGGTGCATCAATACTTTTAAGTGAAGTAAATTCACATATCTGCGTGACACCACCTGTCAACAAGAGTGCATTTGAGGCCTCCCTTGTTTATGGGAGTACTTACAATGTGTGGGTCTGCAATGCATGATTAAATGAAGGTGTTGATGTGGATAACAACCTCTGACTGAGGTGTTTCTCTGAAGATAAATTGCGCACTCATCTCTAGTTTCAAACCTCCATTCTCACCTCATTTTCAAGTTAGCAACCTTGTCTCAGAGCTCAGTAAGATACAGTAGCAATCAAATGAGGAGCTGAAGTTGTCTTCCCTAACCTGACCTACACCTGCTGTTTATTCACAAGCAGCTTCTGCCTCCTTTCTCTGACAGAGAATTGGGGTCCATTCCCTGGGGGAGGCCAGTTCCTCACTTATGCTCTGGATCCCAGGCCTACTCACTCACCCAAGACCCATCCCTCTGAAAGAGCCCACTCTCTGACTGTGCTATCAGTATTTCTACTGAACGGGTCAACCCCAACTCCATTAATATAGGTTTAAAGCTTCTTGGAAGAATCCTCAAGCTTCCATCTCTCCCTTTCTCTCCCCCTCTCCCTCCCTCCGTTCATTCATTCATCACACATTCATTTATTTACTCCTGAAGTTTTCCAGAACCATTTTTCTGGTTTTCTCCCCTTATAACAAAACTTTTTGAATGTTGTGCTCATTCTTCTGATTGTTGATCTAATCTCTCATCTCTCTTCAGCCGGCCTTTTGTTCCCACCACTGAAACTGACCTCAGAGAGCCAAATCCAAAGGTAATTTTATTTGAAACATTTTTTCATACTTAGAACTTTTTAAAGCCTTTGTTTTCATTGTGACATGCCTCCCTGGTTTTCCACTTACATCTTAGATGAAGCTGTCTCCTCCTCTGTGCACCTTTTAATACTGGAGAGGCCTCTTCTCTTTCACCCCCTTTTGTGGTCTCCCCAATCCCCATGCTGTTAAATACCACCCATATCCTCACAATTCCTAAATTAAGGCTGCCCAGATCATGCTACCCAATGACATATCTTCTTGAATTTCTAACAATCATCTCAAACTTTATGACCTCAAACTCAACTCTCAAATCCCTTCCTCCCACCCATAAGCCCGGTCTCTCCTGGTCCTCCCATCTCTACTGAAATGGAGAAATACTTTGAAACATTATTAAAATATCTTCCTCTTTTGCCTATGTTAATACCAGGACTTCACCCTTTTTCAGTCTTAAGAGTTCATGTGCCCGGGGCGGGGGTGTCTTAAGAGAGGATGGTTCTATTTTCCTTTTCTTCATTTTTCAACAATTTACAAGTTCAGTCTGGAGTACCAGCACCCAAGCCTCTCCTGTGTGGAGGAAGATACTGTTACCTTAAGGCTTCTACTAGAGGGTAGAGGGATATTAATATGACATAGAGGCAGTGAACAGAATTATAGATCTCCACAAGGCAGAGCGAGAAGGGGTGGGGAAGGATGAAGTGATTCTCAATGACTCTAAATTTTAGCCCCAGAGATCCTTCTGTCCCTCATAGGGTTGGGATTACAGCTTTTTACAAGGATGCTGGGGTTTTGAACCCAGGTCCCATGCTTGTGCAGTGAGTGTTCTTACCCACAAGCCATCCCTTGTGCACTTCCTGTCTATATTTAATATATGTTGTGTTGATACAGAAGTCATCTTGATTTTGAGTGGTGAAAGAATAGGCCAACTTGAGAGTTCATCTTGATTATTTGAAGTTTCATGAGAGTAGTTACTTTGCTTTTAGAAGGGCTGCTTTTCTTTAAACAAGTTTATTTATGGTATGAGGATTGTATCAATTTATATTGTACAAAACGCTTATTTTTAATGGAGTCCATTATCTTTTTGTCAGTGTCCATGGTCTTTTTTTTTTTTTTTTTTTTTTTTTTTTTTGGTTTTTCGAGACAGGGTTTCTCTGTGTAGCTTTGCGCCTTTCCTGGATCTCGCTCTGTAGACCAGGCTGGCCTCGAACTCACAGAGATCCGCCTGCCTCTGCCTCCCAAGTGCTGGGATTAAAGGCGTGCGCCACCACCGCCCGGCCCATGGTCTTTCTTAAAGCTTTACCTAAGAAGTGCCTGCCTATCCCACAGCCATGAGGATTCACTCCCCACTTTCCTCTAAGGCCTTTACAGTTAGAGCTTTTATATTCAGGCTTAGGAGCTTCTCTGTAGTGAGAGGAAGTTTGAGGCTTAAGTCTTTGCACACCAGTGGATCCACGCTCTAGCATACTTCTTTAAAAGATCACTTTCCCCATCCTGGATTTGCCTTAGTGCATCACATGCATTTCTCATTCAATGCATTTTGTTTGTTTCATTGAGTTTATTCCTTGATAGCTCATGGTATTAGACAATGTTAAACAAATGTGGAAATTATGAAGTGATTCTCACCAAAACTTTCAATGTCCTCTCATCCACTCTGAATCAAATCTGCATTCCTTACTCTGGCTTTAGAAGCCCCACATGTTCTGCTTCCTACCTATTCCTTCAAATTTAAGCAAAACAAGAAACAAACCCCTGACTGTTCATTTTGCTGCGGCTGCTGTCTGGTTCAGCTGACTCACCTCCACCTCATGGCCCTTGATGCTCCACCACTCACAAAGGATCTTCTTTCAGTTCTTGGAATGATGAATGCTTTTTAATACTCCAGATCTGAGCTCAGTCAACCCCTGTTCAAAGAAGGTGTTAACTGATCCAGCAGGTTATGGTTTCTATCTGTGATGTTAGTTTTAACTAACTGTCAACCTGACATAACATAGAATCTTCTGGGAGGAGAGAATCAGTTGAAGAATCGTCTAGATCATGTTAGCCTGTGGGCATGTCTTGTTGGCCTTAACTGATAAGAGAAGACCTAGCCCCCTGTGGGTAGCACATCCCCTAGCAGGTGGCCCTGAACTGCATAAGAATGAAGGAACCTAGCTGAGCATAAGCAAGTAAGCCAGCAAGCAAGTTTATTGAGTTTATTCTCTCTGCTTTTAACTGTGGATGTAACCAAGTCCTTGACTTCCCCCATGATATAACCTAGAGTTGTGAGCTAAATAAGTCTTTTTTTTCATAAGTTGCTTTTGGGTAGGGTATTTTATTATAGCAACAGAAATTATTAGAACACAATCCTTAACTAATTTTCTTTCCTACTCTTAATCTGTTATTAATGACACTACCCATTTATATGTTTAAACTTCACATCTTTTGCCATGAACTTATTGATATCATTGCATTACTATAGTCTGTATTGATCTCTCATCCACCGACTACAGTTTCTGATTGTGGACCTCACTACTCTTCTTTTCCACTCTGTGTGCCCAATTCTTGACAGAATTCTAGAATCACAAAAAGTACCAGAAACTGGACATACGTGTTTTGTAGAATCATGCTTTGAAAGGCTGGATAAAACATTAGAAATCCAAGTGAATGTTGCTTTTTAAAGATTTCATTTTTAATTATAGTTAGGTGTATGTGTGTATATGTAGGTACGTGCATGCGAGTATAGATGTCTCCTGAAGTCCAAAGTATCAGATCCCCTGGAGCTAGAGTTACAGGTGGATGTAAGCTGCCTGACATGGGGACTGAACTTCAGTCTTCTGCAAGAGCAGTTATGCTCTTAACTGGTGAGCCAGCTCTCCAGCCCAAATGAATGCCGTTTTAACACCACAGAGCCTTCTCTTCCAAAGGAAATCTATGCAGAAGCTACATGTTAAGCAACGGAATGGGGATCTTTTCTGATGGAAGTAGGAATAGCAGGAACAGAGCCATGTTAAGTCAACAGCCACACTGGGAATTTCTGCACAGCTTCAGCCTGTCATTCATGTAGTGGATATATAACGTGTAAGACAGACTGGCTTGCCCAGAAATGCAGCTCTTGACCAGTGGTTTGAAAACAGTAGGCAGAGCAGGGTTTCCATATCTATGATGCTTAGGCTAAAGCAATTCAGAACAAAACCTTAACCCCATAGTCACAGAAAACACTTATATGATAAGAATCAGATATTCTTTATCCCTGAATGTCACTTAATACCACCAATCCAAAATTTCTGATCAATTTGTTTTTCAGGGTTTCCAAGGAAACCCTTATTCTAACTTAAGCAGATCAAAAAAGCATATTTCAATAAGTCTAATTGAATTTTGCACTAAAAGAATAAAACAACATAATCTCATTTTAATATGCTCCACTTTGGAATTCATAGCTCCACATGTGTTTAGAGCTGAGATACTATTGTGGTAGAATCTTCAGCTGTGGATGACCGACCATAAGTTAGACAGATGTTTCTTCTCTAGTAGGGATATGCATTCAGGCAATCGAGCATTTTAGAATAGAATTCATGCATAAAATATGCATGTTTTCTCTTCTGCCCAGAGAAGCAATAGCTTGGATTTTGAATTTGTCAATTGATGTTTTCCTGTGCTTCCTCAACACAGATCTCATTCTCAGTCTTCCACAATGAAGGGCTTCTTTTTTGAAAAAAAAAAGTGATTTTCTTACATTCTTTTCCTTATTTTGTAGAAATTGAGGTAGCATCTTTGTGACATTGCCCAAGGAATAATTTTAAAAGTGCAAAATAAAACCAACATCAGGCTGAGTGATTAAGCAATAGTTCCTTGGATCATAAAATTCTTTTGAAAAAAATATGCCACGGTATTTTTATTGAGTTTATAAGCTGAAAGGCATTTAAAATTCCAAAGAGAACAACAAAAAGAATAAAAAAGAAACCCACATGTGTTGTTGCTAAAAAAAAAAGTAACAAAGATGTGTACTGGGCAGAATTGGTCCTGGGAGACATTAGGACGCAGATGGGATCTGTGTTTATCATTTTCCATGCTCTGTTTGGAGCCTCTGTTCCATCTCTGTTCTCCCCATCCCCAGCTGTCACATGGCATCATCCTCAGAGTCCCTGCAGATGCTGTGCTGTGGTGTGCTTAGATCCATCTTTCCTACGTTCTCTGTTCAAGCTAGTTGTTTAAGAGTCCATGCTGAAGTGTAAGTTACTGGAGATACACACATATAATCTTTATATATGTCTATATATATAAACATATACATAAACATATATACACACACACACACACATATATATATATATATATACATATACATATGGACAAACACATTGTGAGTGTGTGCATGCACAAGCTGGAGAAAAAGCCACCTGCGCATACTAAACAAATGCTTTATCTCTAAACGACATGCCCAGCCCTGAAGAACATCCATTTGTCAAGAATGAGCAGGAAGCATAATTTCTTGGCACTGACTATTTTGCTTCTTTACAGGTCCAGCCCTGGTGCTAATGGGAAAACTAATTCTCTAAAACTGATGAAAACTATTGAGAACCCTAGGAAGGTAAAACCCAGGACCCAAAGTGAGTATTTCAATGACGATGGGGATGCTGAAATCAGAGAACAAAGGAATTGCTGTCAGCTTTGGCATCTGCTGCTGTACTGTGAGTCTAAATTTTTGTTTTCTGGTGAAATGAGGAATAATAACATAGATAGACTGTCAGGAGGATTCTGTGAGAGGAGGTGAGTGAGTTCAAGTTGCTTAACCTCAGGGAGGATCCTTAAGGCATTGTGTGTGCTGTGATGAGATGTCAGGGCAGAGGAGAAATAGGCAACTTATGATGCCAAAACTGGAGGGAATAATCTCCACATGCTGATATTTAAACACAGTGATGTTTCTGCTTTATCCACATTCTTTTTTCTGTAATCAGTTAACCAATTTATGTACATAAGTGTTTTGCCTGCATATACATATGCATATTACATGCATGCCTAGTGCCTGCAGAGGTCAGAAGATAATATTGAACTCCCTGGAACTGGAGTTACAGAGAATGGTTATGAGCTTCCATGTGGGTCCTGGGAACTAAGCCTAGGTCCTCTGCAAGAACAGCAAGAACTATTAACTGCTGAGCCATCTCTTCAGCCCCTTTACCCTCGTTCTTTAAATGCCTGTTAGAAATATGCTCAGGCCATCACCTATTATTTGAAGAGGATATCTGTTTTATTATAATATGTTAATTACATTATAGCATTGTTTTCACTGTTACTAAAGGAATTGCAGAGGTGGATAGTTGTGAGTGATGAGATAGCCAGTTAGAGCTTCATTTATGGCATTTGTCATGGTTTTCAAGATAGCACTTTCAGCTTGGTGAGACAAACTGAGCTGAGCTGACTGGGGCAGGGGCACACCACTGATAAGACATTATTGATCTGGAGGTTCGGAGCCAATGAAGAGACACGAAGGAATAATACATAACGATGACCAACTTTATAAATCCCTGCTCTGCTTGTAGCCTGCCTGCATGGTTAATTCACCCGCGGCTAGTTCCTCACTCTTTACAGAGCCCTCATGTAGAAATACTGGAGCCCAGAGGAATGTGGTTAATGAGAGAGTGGAAGACAGAGCTGTGCTGTTCAAGAGTTATTTTCCAGGGAGAAGTCTTCCACAGCCCAAAGTTCACTTTGAGTCTGTAAAAGGATGAAGATTGCCAGTGCGCAGAGGAGAGAGAAATCCTTTCTTGTTGTTTAGTAGAATCGTAGGGATTCTTCTACCAAGGAAAGAACAGTCTCTAAAGTCAAGAAAACTTCGAGAAGTAAAAAAAAGATAATCTCCCTTGCTTAGACATGTCAGACCAGAGGAACAGTGAAGTTTTAGTCAAACACTACCCCGAAGACTGGAACACTTACATGGAAGAGTGTCACAAATACTCTCCAAAACTGCTCCCGTTATTCACATCTTAACATTTGTCTCAAGGCGAGAACTTTTTTTGACTATACAATTTATAATTTCCTTTAAAGCAATATAATTTAGGAGCTGGTATTGGTAGTGTACCATGCTTACAAAGACTCTTAATCTAGGGGCTAAGATGTTATTCTATAACAAGAACATGGGTTCTATGAACAAAGATATAGACTATTTATACAAACTAAGTCTGAGACAACAGAAGACTCTCCTCCAACAAAAGCTTTATGACAGAAGTTCAACTGTTTATGAAAAAGTGTCTTTCCCCTTTTGCATCTGAGGACAACTGATAGTCTTGCTTTGTCATTCATTTAAGACACAGCTCAACATCTCTAGTCACCCTGTAGATACAAAAGGTCAATGTATGTGTGTGTGTGTGTGTGTGTGCATGTGCATATGTGTGCGTGCATGTGTGTGCATGTGCATATGCGTTGCCTGTGCATGCGTGCATGTGTGTGCGTGTGTGCATGTATGCATGTGTGTGTGTGTGTGTGTGTGTGTGTGTGTGTGTGTGTGGCATGCGACCATGTGTTTACCCGTACACGTGGCATGGAGTTAAGTGAACTCAGTGGTACTTACTGGAAGACCCGTTTGACCTGCTCTACCCCAGGGCCCTGTTGTTCCTGGTAAGCCCATCTCTCCTTTGTCTCCATCCTCTCCAGGAAGTCCGCTTCCTCCTGGAGCCCCCTGGAATCCAAGGAAAAGGGTTTATTTTGAAGAATGCGGTGAAATAATTATGTCCTGTAATAAGTGTATTTTTATTTGACACACAAAAGTAGTTAAGCCTGATATTTTAAATATTCCATTTAAAATGATATCTTGGGGCTAGGGATGTAGCTCAGTTGCTACAGTGTTTGTCAAGCACATACTATGCCTGGGGGATTGATTTCCAGAACTAAATAAAACCTATAATACCAGAACTTGGGAGGTAGTGGCAGGAGGACCCAAAGTTTGAGTCATCCTCAGGATATATTGTGAGTTTGAGGCTAGCGTAGGACACATGAGACATTGTCTCAATATATAAAGTTTACCTTCAATCCATCTTTTCCTTGGAGACCTTCTTCTCCGGGAGCTCCTGGTTCACCCTGTTTTATTTTGTAGCAGAAAAAGTAAGATTAAGTTCTTGGCTATCTCATTGATCTTATTTTACATTTTGTCCCCAGAAGGTGTAGGAAGTGGTTGGTTTATAGTCGTCCATTTCTACTTTAACCTTATCTCTAAAGAAGACCTGACAGTGCAATAAGCATGATTTGACTTGCCTGGAAGAGCTCTGGAGGTACCTAAGATAGTCAGGGCTGTAAATTCAGATACAATGTGCCTCTAGAATACTAATACATTTTAGATAATTGCAGGTAACATATATATCTGGAGTCTGGAAATTAATATAGCTAGAACGTGCTTCTGACATCAAGGAATGTAAACACTATCATCACATGAAATACAGCTCCTTGATATAATGAACTTACATGGGGTAATATAACAAACTTCAGCCATGACCATTATACCAGACTTTCAGTTTCTGTATTTTCTCCCTTCAGAGAGACAAAGATTATGGCCAAGGCATATCAATAAGCTGCCTTTTAGATATGAAACTTGTGAATATACAGACTATAGCTTATGAAGCTGCTAAGGCAGTGTTGCTGTCTTTATAACTAAGTTAAAGTGAATTAATTAGCGCTAATTAATAGTACAACATCACTCCCATTAATGACCCCTGCCCTGTATTAAGCTGATCCCTACTAATCACCCCCACAAAAGGAAAATGCAAATCAACAAACCAGGTACAAAAATAAATCTCCCTACTTTATCTGTTAGTGAACAAAGATTTTAAAAAATTGTCTTCAACATTGTTATTTTGGAAAAAAAATCGTACCATGGCTTAAAGCCTGTCTATATTTTCATAACTTTTCCAAGATGTCAAATTACAACTACTCATAAAAATTTCCTTGCATCTCATTAAACCCTGGGGTGGTTTTAAAACACACATTACATTTCAATCTTTCATCTGTCTGTTAGGTTAAAAAATGTCCTGATGTGTTGATCAATGATTTGTGAATTTCTTCTTCATGCAACGCTAAGCAATAACCACATGACCACACATTTTTGGAAGGCTCTTCAGAGCACACCTGGTTTTGAGAAAAGTCACTTAGGTTTCTAAATGCCCAACTTAGAGTGCAAATAGGGTTTAGTGTGTAGTTTCTAAATTCATGAAACATTTTGTGGTGCATTTGAAAGTCTTATTACTCTACTTTTTGATGTGTCTAGGGCAGTTAAATTTTGAGTCTCCCCAAAGAAGTGGCTCAGTACATTGTTTATTGTAGGTACTCACACGTGACCCGGACTCCCCAGCTGCTCCAGGGCTGCCGGTAGGTCCAACATCTCCCTGAAGAGACAAAGGGCAGAGGAAGCTTTTTTTTTTTTCCACTCAAGTTGCTCTCCTAATCACAGGGTACAAATTATAAGGGATATCATCCAAAGTACTTCTGTTCTGATGCCTTCCATCTGCCTTCAAGATGGTTTTGTCACCGGGTGTGGTGCCGAACACCTTTAGTCCCAGTACTCGGGAGGAAGATGGCGGATCTCTGTGAGTTTGAGGCCAGCCTGCTCTACATAGTGAGTTCCAGGACAGCCAGGACAACACAGTGAGACCCTGACTCAACCTTGCCCCCTCCAAAAAAATGGTGTTTGTCAAACTGGGGCAAGTGTGGGTGTTACGTTAGAGATATCTCTCTCTTACACTTTTGCGTGGTTACCTTAGCACCTGGTTCACCTTGCAGGCCAGATTCTCCCTCAGTGCCTGGAAGTCCCTGAAAGAGGATGATTTGACATGTTACAAAGGCTGTACAAACCCCATAAGAAAATGGTTTGCTTTTCAGCTCAAAGGTAAGAGTCTGTGTGCCAGAGAGGGTTTTGGCTACCTCCAAACACACACTTCAACACTTAAGACAGGATTTTTTTCTGGGATTCTTTAACAATTCAAATGTCAAAAAGAGCTTCACTTGAAACCAAGACAATGAAGAAATTTCTCCCCCAATCTTTCACCTTTGAGACCTTAGAGGATATGAGATAATCTATTTCCTATAGCTTCGAGTTATCTATTCCCGGATTCAAAGATGTTTCCTTGCTTTTGAGCATCACATCCCTTCCTCCTGTGCCTATTGAAACCTGCTTCCTTGAGATCAATTAATTTTTTCATTTTTTAAAAATAAAATATACTGTATGAATTAATGATAAAGTTGTCACACTGAAAAGGAGATGTATATACTGAATTATTTTTCCAGTCTTCTTTCTTGGTGAGTCTAGCTTTGTTGGGTGACCTTTTGATTATTTTGACCTTGAAAACATACACGTTCTTGCAATCTTTGGTTCTTTCATGGTCTGAAGCTTCAACAGCTGCTTTTGTGTGATTTGTGTCTCCCAGGAGTATCAGTCGTGTTTTTTCATCCTCTGTGTGTCCCCCAGTCTTCTTCTTTATTCATGCTACCCTTCCATCCTTTTGATTAGTCCGTTGAGAGTGTTGTACATATGTGATCATATTCATCCCATCTCTCCCAATGCTTTCCCAATTCACCACCCCCAAATACACACCGACACATTTTTAAAGAAAGAATCCTCCAAGACCAATTAGTTCTGCCCAAATGTTCTTAGATGATCAGTCTTTTATTGGAAAGTGGTTGACTTACCGAGGGCAATAATCTTGGA